TAATATAAAGCAACAACCCACGAACAGGCATCCATTTCAAAACAAGAGCCATATTGGTGTCCCTCAGTTACCAACACACCAATATGATTCTCATTACCTATATCTAACCTTTACAAACTTTTGAAAAACTAGGCAAATTCAACTAGCGTCACTCGGCAATTTGACCTTCGACACCCCCCCAATCCATATCCCTTCGCAACGGCCCTGCTTGTTTCATCAACTTGCATCAACTCTGCAAATGTCAACATGCAGCATGCCTGATTTCAACAGGCTTGCTCCAAGTTGGTGATGTCAACAACCCTGCTGCAACTTGTTGACAACTTCCATCAGGCCGGGAAAATCTGCAACTTGCAGCACGTCTGTGGCATTTCTGACTGTGTACTAAACATGAAATGTAATAATATGATTGGAAAAATGTTTTCTCCCTCTCCCCCCGAACTCCCACCACTAGGTTGCCAACATTTTCGGAAAAAATTTTTAAGAGTCCTTTTCGTTATTCAAAAGTGCCCCTCAAAACGGTGCCCTTCCCCCCATGTAGAAACAGTGCTTGGGAATGTAGTAGTTTAGTTTTAAAAGGCGTTTTAGTTTGATACAAGCACGTTTTTCTAGTATATGTGGCTAGATCCTACATTAATTTAGCTTCTGTCGGTCATGAAACACTGAATACAGGTATCAACAAACCTTTTTGGTTCTTTTTCGGGTTTCGTCTTGTCATGCATTTTTTGTTTCTTTGACTCTGTGAACTTTGCATATGATGGCACTATAAAGGAATTAATACGACTGATATAATTAGCTGTAACCGTGGCCCGATGCACCTAATTTGACCTTTCGAATCGATTTCTGGTGTTTTCAGAGCACTATAATGCAAACACAGTGGCGTAACTACTAAGAGCTCAGACCGGGCAAACCCGGGGCCCCCAAGCCTAAGGGGCCCCTGGCCAGAATGTAGAACAAAAAATACTTGCACAGGAGTCTTCTGCATGAAAATTGAAAAAGTGAAACTTAAGCACCACGCAGCAAAATTATACTGCAGATTAAAAAGGTTAAACGCTTTTTTTTTCAATTATGTTTTATTTGAAATCTTTGGCATGCCGTAACTTTGACACAAATAAGCAAATTTTGACGCAAATCTAAATAATTTTGAAATATTATAGTTGAAACACTGGTCACTCATAATTTTCGTGCAATTTTGGTCACTCATAATTTTCGTGCTAGTAGCAAAAAGTATTTTAGTTGTTATAAATTATAAAAAAGTATTTTAATCGTTATACATTTATTGTTCTGGAGTGACAGTAATAGTAGAATTATATAATAGTTTAGTTTGTTGAAACACCACGTAAATTTATTACTGCAAAGCTTAAAAACAGGTGGGAAAATTGACTGAGCATGCGCGAAAACTGCTCAGGTTTTCAGTGGGAGAATAAGATATGCGTGCTTCCACTTGCTTGATTTAAAAAACATAAACAACATGAACGAAGCCTTCGAAAGACAATTTTACAGCAGCTGTTTAGGCCCACAAATCACCACCAAAATTGGATTTACTGACAAAAATGTTGCAGCAATACTTTCATTTCCTCTATTACCACATATTTTGCAATGTAAACTATTTTAATGTTGATTATTTCAATGCAAAACAAAACAGAACAAAAAATTTCCTTTTAAAATGTCGTCTGATAGCTTCAATAAAATGCGAAATTCAAACCAAAAATACTAAAGCTTCTTCATTTTTTACAATGCCAGAAAATTTAATACCGACTTTAAAATGCTTTGAAATTTAATGTAAAACAGCAATATTTTGTTGGCCCAACCTGTACCATCACAAAATTTGTGTTTATAGACGAGTGAAAATTGTGTTTAAAAAAATAATACAAAGTTTGTGCTTCGGAATGAGGGTCATAGAAAAATCTGATTGCTATGTTTATCTCTTTTTTAAATACTTTGAAAACCTAAAAATAATATTTTAAAACTATTATAGCAAAATACATGGTAAAATGGTCATTCTGATGCTCATTTTCTAGTAGTAGCCTTTTCCGTATAAATCACTTGCACATGAAAGTTGCCAAAATTCAGTATTTTCTTCATTTTTTAGGCGATTTTACATTCTATTAAAGGACAATGGTAATAAATTTTTTATTCTCGATATTTATTAACATACCTACGGAATACTTAATTACGTATTTTCACTTGTCTATCGCATTTAGTTGTTCAGAAATATCGTAAAACTTTCGACAGTTGTCCGCCATCTTGAAAAAACCTGGTATGCTAATTTATGTGAGAATAAATTTGTGACGTCAAGAGCAGGGGAAACGAATATTGTCAATATAAAATAGTATGCGTGTGAACACATTCTACGAAGATTTTGACCAAAAAGTGCGGATAAACTACAATTTTTTTTGTATAACTGCGTAAAAATTTAGCGCTACTACTCTGTGTGTTTCAGCTGTGTTTTTAAAATAAACGCGTTAATTTCGGTAGTAAAAGTGCTTTGATTATAAATGATTACCATAGGCATAGTCTGGTACTATGTCAATATGACAATATGCTCACCTACTTTGTAGACTTTTATATTTGCTGTTCTCGGTGATCACGGCTATGACCACATCAACAGGAACAATATCGCATAAATAAACACTATTAATGACTGAGAATATGTTTTGATTCTTTGCAATTCGCATGTAAAAATCGTTTTGATGTTTTTGTGATATAAATAATGAGAGAACAACTTTGTTTATAAACTAAATTTTAATAAAGCATTAATATATACACCACTGCACTTTATTAGATAATAGGACAATTGCAAATTATAATAGCATTTGTTGTAGGAAATTGGGGTTGCATGCTGTACATTATAATAAAGCTGATTGAATCGGAGGAATTAGCGCATCTTCAACCTTGGATTTTGACTCAACCTTGTTTTAATACTAGGCAGAAATGGCAGCCCTGTCTTTTTATGAAACTCTTATTAAACAAAAAAATTCAGCCAAAGGGCTGAGTTCAAAAACGAGGTTAAAATTAAATTTCAAACCTGTTTCGAGCACCCCAGGCCGAGGGCTACTTTATTGAACAAATTCCAATGCTGTCAACAGTAAACGAGTTTATCCCCAGGCTTGAAAATAGTTCATGTAATCGGCACATACTAGAGTTATTATTAAAAGAGCATAGATTTAGCCAAATTTGAATAAATGAACATTCAAACAATCTCAAAGCCCCAAACCACTTTCGAATACACAATTCCCATTATAGACTAATTTTAAAACTAGGCAAGGAGATACAAATAAATCACCACAGCTAGAAAGAGCATACTAAAATGAGTAACATTGCAAAGCTTGGTTGCAAAATGTTGTAAAATGCAGAAAACATAGCAAATTTTGTATACTTTTGTATTGCGTGCGAAAATTGCTACCACATTTGGGCCGAAAATGAAGCAATTTCCGCACACAATACAAAAGTATACAAAATTTGCAAACTTTGCAAGGCAATATGTTCTGCATTTTACAACATTTCGCAACTAAACTTTGCAATTTTACTCATTTTAGTATGCTCTTTTTAGCTGTGCTGATTTATTTGCATCTCCTTGCCTAGTTTTAAAATTACTCTATAATGGGAATTGTCTATTATTGTGTAAACACATGCAGGAAGTGGCCTTCTGTTCTTATTCCCCCAAGTCTTAAATACCCAACGCGAACATCGCTGGTAAGCTACTAGTCTATAAATTTTGTGTATCTTGTCCAAATCTTTGTCATCCAGAGGCCAGTTTAATATCTTCAAGATAGCGACAAACATCTATTTAATAGCCCTTCCGACAGCATGTTCGCTTTGAATTCTGCATGTGTTGACAATGTTGTAAAGGCAGTCAAGCACTTCTTCCCTTTGTGTTTCAGCCTCCTTCAATCATGCATCTTATTCATCGTATTCTAATGCTTTATCATGGCAACAAAACAATTCAATATCCTTTGGCTTCAATGTGCAATGCGCCAAGCATTTTCGACCTCAAACACATGGTGATTTCCTCAAACACATGGTGATTCACTCTGTTCTTCGGAGTCGCTATCGCTTGTTTGTAAACCCAGTTTAGGTTCAAATTGATAAGATAATACCTTATCTACTTGATATCGTGGATATTTTCCATGCGAGTAATCAAAAAGCGCCAAATTTCTCACTAGAAGTACAAAGTCGCAATATGCGCCTAATAAAATATATTTGTTGTTTTGATTCTACCCTGCTCTTGACGTCACACAGGTCATGTTACCCAAAAGATAATTTTTTGAAAATCGATCCAAGATGGCGGACGTACTGAATATTTATGGTGAAATAACTCGAGAACAAAACATTTTTGATGAAAACTAATAGCATATTCGTAATCAGGGGGTCCAGTTTTACCAATATCAGGAATAAAAAAAATTTATTGCCATTGTCCTTTAACAAAAACTAGAAAGAAAAGCACATGTTCTGACCTAATCACATTTTATTGGCACAACCTGTATATATGAGAAAATTAAGGTGAAAAACAAGCAATTTTAGCAAAACACCTCGCATACTGAAGACTGAAATGTCTGCGCACAGTATCACTCAAAAACCAACAACAACAACAAATGGTGTACTACAAATTTCAAGTAATATTCCATCAATATTAAGTTCCTACTCGAGGTTATTGCTATCCAAAACACACATTTTGCAAGAAACGTCATTTTCGGCCATGTTTCAGCGTAGGCAGCCGAAAAAAAAGATTTTTTTGTTTTTCAAAATGGCAGCACTGGTTATAAACAAATACAATTCTCGAAAATTTTCAAATGAATCAAAACTGATAGATTTTGTGAGGCAAAACCAAGTAAATAAATGCAAGATTTTCCTAGTAATTATACCGTCGTTAACGTCTAAGCGTGTACACGTCATCGCAAAACATGTTCTAATTAGATTCAAAGTTCAAAAAATCGGTTCAAAACGTAACCAGTTTCCTGTGCAAACACAACAGTTTCAAAAATATTATACTGTATTAAACAATGTATTCTATCAATAAATTTGGAAGAAATTATAAAGTTGGAGTTTCCTTGTCCGAAGATTATCGACATCAAGTCATTGAACTGTCACATAACAATAACTCTTACCGGGAAATTAGTTCAAGACTTAGGATTCAACCGTCAACTGTCTCAAAAATTATAAAGCGGTATCGTGACACAGGTCAAACGACGTCTCTACCAAGAGACCATATTAGAACTGAAAGCAAACTTTCATACAATGACTCGCTTTTGTTGGAAACGATAGTTGCTAATAAGGGTTCAACGTCCTTAAGAGAGATGCAGGAACAATTAAATGAGTATGGCAATTGCGGTCAAATTTCACTCAACACAATTTCGCGAAATGTAAGATGCAATTTGCCAAGTGGACTTAAATATTCTCGTAAACGCCTCGGAAAATGTGTTGATCAACGATTTACAAATGAAAATCTTATTTATACTCAAATATATCTCGACTATATTTCTACCAAAAATCCAGCTGCCATTAAATTCTTCGATGAATCAGGCTTTCAACTTCCGAATAGTGGACATAGGAATTACGGTTATTCAGAAGTGGGCAAACCATGTCTTGACATTCGTCGATACAATTCGACAGCCAACAAAACTCTCAATTTTTTGGTGGGAATTGATGGACTGAAGTACGCAAATATAATTGATGGCGCTTGCGATACACTGGAATTTCTACGGGGTTTTTCGGATGCATTGCGGACAATAGATCCTCAAACAGAACGCCCAGTTATAGAAGTTGGTGATGTAATTGTTATAGATAATTGTCCAACACATCATGGAGAAGGGGAAAGATTTCTTAGAGAAACATTGTCTGAAATCGGAGTTGAACTATTGTTTTTGCCCGTTTACTCACCAGACTTCAATCCAGTCGAAGAAGTTTTTTCAAAGTTGAAATATCTTCTAAAGTACACGTGTCAAGACATAGTCTTTCAAAACCTCGAGTTCGCAATTTGGTGTGCGGTTGGGGATATCACTGCTGCAGACACATATGGATATTATCGTCATACTCATTATTTTAACATGTAATTAAATAATCGAATTCATAAGTACAAAGACAAAGTATTAATTACCTAATGTCCGATTTTAATAGTACTTACAGTATTAAAACTCAACGTTATATATATGTGACTATGTTTATATGACTATAAATGTTCACTGTCTCAAACGAGATAGATTGACATTGACTGATACAGTAGTCTAAAAATAGTATTAACGTACTCAAGAGTGACATGAAAAGTTTGCTTCTGTTCACCTGATTCAAATACAAAACCAAAACTATAAAACAAAACTTAACATAGCTATTAAATGCCAAACTAAATTAAAAATACAGTAAAAGTCATACCAGATCGTTATTTTCCATATTACCATGACCACGGCTCATGCCTAAAAGAATGTTTGCCGCTTCTTCGTTCGAGTCTTCGTTTGTCTTTTCAACACTCATGCCATGATCATATGCCTCACCCTGTGTCTCACCAGTATTCATAACATCGTCGACCGCAATGTCTAACATACTCGGCTCTTTAGTAACCAAAGAAAGCTTTGTCGCCATTCTTAGCTGTTCGATCTCTTCATCTTCGCTGTTAGGTTGCAAATATGTGGAAAAAGCCATGTCGACCGACTCGCATTTTTTCGTCTTGGACTTCGATCTAATTGGAAAATTCACCCCGTACGACTCCAGTTTACATTGCATTGCTGTTTTTTGTGGTTTATCAAATTCGCTGTCCATTCTCGGTGGTAAGCTGAGCCCAACATTGGTGCTTAGTATGCTTCTAATCTTACTTCGCGTTATGTCACTGCTAGTTTGGATGTTCTTTTTAACAAGAGCGACGTCTTTCTGGAGTTTTAACCAGTTGCGAGGACCGTCTATCACATAATCTTCGGGATATTCTTGAATTAACATATCTTCAATGTTCATGTTAACGGAATTGTTCACACGGTAAAACGAATTTTGGCTGGATGTCAGTTCTTGTTGTAGTTTCTTGAGAGATGCTTCTCTGGCAGCAACAGCGCGTTTTTTTTCATCAAATTGTTTTTTCTCGTCAGGATGTTTCGAAAGCAAGCCACATAATAATGAGGATTCGCATTTATTTTCTTTGCATGATCTTACAGTGTGGTTTCTTTGATGACAATGTGAACATTTTTGTCCCGTTTTTCCCATCAGTAAAGAGGCATTTTCAATTTGCTTTATTGTATGTTCAAGCTCTTGCCTTTTTTCCTCGATTTCAATACTTGTAGCGCGAATTTCAGCTTCCTTGGACTTTATGTACCGCTCCATCGTCCGGTTCGTCCCTGATATTGTCCTCATTCTCAGAATCAGTAACTTCCTCTAGCATACTGAAACAGATCATTTCTTGGTTAAGTCTGCGCCTGGGAAAGCCGTCAGTTCTTCTATTTCTTGGTCTTGGACTACGTACACTGCGTGCCTTACTAGACTCAGCACAGTGGGACTTTGATTCTGGACTTTCTCCTACAGTTGGTGTATTTTTCCGTTTGGTTTTATTTGATTGAGGGCTTGTCCTTGACATTCTCGAAACGGCTTCCATAATCATTCTCTTGTGACCCTCTGGCACTTGCATATTGATTAATTGAAAGTCCGCTTCTACCCAATGCTTCATACTGTTGTTCGACGTAAATCCATATTTCCGTAATTGTTTCGCATATTGGACTAGATCTTCGTCGATTTCGCTTAAAAAATTCTCAATAGTTCTCCTTTCCGTCATAATGCAACGTGCGTCTATATTAAAATTGGTTTATATTAACTCGTTGATTTCAATCGCATTTATATAATAGTTCAACGCACCTGATTGGCCCAGTGGCTGCTAGTAATTAGGAAGCCATTTAGGTGCATTTATTAATGTACATGTTTACATAAAAAATTGCCATACCAAAAAAAGGTTTATCTCAGAATTCGCTTTGAAAATGTTTGCAAATTGCGCTAAAAAACCTATGAAGCCTTGGCCAGTGCTGCCCTTGATAAAAGCTCGAAAATTGTTGTGAGCAAACACACTTTTCATCTAATACAGTATTGGTATCAAATCTATACGAGATTTGGCTTATAAACCCTGAAGTTTGAGATGTAAACCTGTCTACTTTGAATCTAATTAGAACATGTTTTGTGATGACGTGTACACGCTTAGGCGTTAACGACGGTATGTACTTAATTGGAATAATGATCAGGAGTGATGATGCTACTCTAGGACTTATTTAAATATGGTAGTGTGTTGTTATAATTGTGTACATCCAGTCTGCATTCTATATTTTTTCCCCGCCACATATTTCCGCCAGCATTTTCTGCAAAAAAAAATTCCCTGTCAGAAGCTGAGAAAAACTCGACATTATCCTTACACCTTCCGCCAACCGCCATCTACTGATGGAATAAAAATCACACTAGAAACCTTTGTTTTAAAGATGATACGAATGAGTCGGTCAGAGTCAGACATGACAGACAATCAATCTTGGCTTGTAAATTTACAAACAAGTTATTCACTGTATTATACATGGAAGTGCAACAATAAATATATAAATTGCAGTTATTGCTTTCATAAAACGTTAACTGCATAAATAAATGAAACATAATATTATAAATAAAGGCAATATGAAACACAAGCAATATTGGATGATTATTGCAAGTAAAAGTATATATAAATCCCAATGTGAATGTGATCTTGTGATACGTGATCACTGCGTCTGCATTTTCATAATAGAAATGGTAACCTAGCGTCACTTTTCTCTATTCTTTTGATCACTTTACTGGTGTTGCTGCCTGTAGGTGGTCGCTCACAAAGTACAGGAGCTTTGTGTTTTTTTAGCCCTTTCTTCTTGTCACGATTGATGTAGAGATTTGCAACCTCTTTGATCATCCTGTCTCCCTGCAAGACATTCGGTAGACACCAGTCCAGCTTGGTACGGACAGACAAGGTGTCATTACTTTGACCTCCAGGTTGCAGTTGGGATTTCATTGTTGAGTAATAAGACTCTAGAATCGATTCTGGGCCACCCTTAGCCAACGCGATATCAACTACTAGACAGACTTCCTTTCCAAACATTGTATACACATTTTCATCAGTGTATATGGATTTGTACACAGCCTCTTCGTTTAGTGTCACAACATGTTCCCTTTCGTCACCATTGAACACTGTGACAAAGCATTTCTTGACGAACGGCTGGTCTTGAGCCACTTTGAATGATGTAAGATTACCACATGCATTGGAAAGTACTGATGGTAGGGGTTAACTTTTCTTTCTTGACAACATAGAACCACTTAACCATTGTTTCTTTCATATTCCATAAGATATTCTTTAATGTTTGCTTAAGCCTTCGGTGTATTACATGACTTAGTCTGGAATCAATGTTTAGTGATCCTTCCTTGAGTGCTGCTGCAACATGCTCCTGAGAGCATACATACTCCATGATTTTGTTAAAATATTCTGCCCCAAATTCTTCAACTTTGGCCTCTGAAATTGATGGCTTGCCATTCCGTCGTGTTCCAACCAGTAAGCAGAAAAGACATTCTAGATCTATAGCTGTGAAATGCTTGCACATGTCCGGCACACAATTTGTGTATTGAGATTCTAGGGATTGGATCAGATCAACAATAAATTGATGTAAATCTGCCTCACAATCTTCCAACTCCCTTGCCTTCCACTCATCATGTGTTTCATTGTGGGACTCCAGCAACCACCCGGTTACGATCTTTGAACTTCTGTTCTTCCATGATATCTTTAATATTGGCCTTGAGAACCTTCATGCTTCCTGGTGGGCTTGCAATGCTGACATGTTCCAGTTGTTCAAGAAATTTGTTTACATATGGAAACCAAACGCATATTTTCCAGCATGGACAGCTCAGGCTTTGAAGCTTTACCATCAAATCGATGACAATTCTCATCACATCAGTGACAGAGCACAAATCAATGACAAAATCCTCGCCAAGAATCTCGTATTCTCGCACTTCACTGTAGCCAAAAGCTCTGAAGGCTTGGACGATGGATCCCAAATAATTGCAGAGAAAACTGGATGAACTGGTACATTTAGTTCTTTGTGCAGTGTCTCTCTGAATTCTTGTGCCTGATACTGAGCATTGCAACAAGTTCCTTGCCATGATGTTTTCAGCGAAAAACTATCAGAATCTTCATAAGCTTTACTGATGGTCTTGATTATTTGCTTTGTCAACTGACCAGCACAACCGTCGGACACACTCCCTGTATTACCGTCGTCATCAGTACTGTAAACAACAGGTGAGTTTACAGGAATGGCAACTCGCTCGACATCAACCATAGGGCAGATCATAACAGCCTGGTTGGAGATTCGTTGGGGAGTGCTCTTATATAAAAATGTGGTGGGAATGATGTGGATGGTAATGGTCTTGTGATAAATCTGCCAGTTTGCAAGTCAATCCAGACATTCATTGTTGCGAGTATCTCGTTGAAGTGGTTGCGAGAGTGTCCCATGTCTCCGAGATCGCTGCCAGTGGAAATATGGGCAGCAATCTCATTTTCAAAATGCAAAGTGGCTGACTTTGACTTGATAACACTCCAAGTGATTCTAATAAAGTTCTCGGTAACTCTTATACCTCTAGCTGATCGCTTCAGAATAGCTGCATTGTGCTGTAGTGCATCAAAATGTAATTGAGAATGTTCCCCAGTGCAACTTACATGCTGTACACCAGCCATAATGCTTTCTCTGTCTTCTCAGGTGAAAGGAGAAGACCTGATGAAAGCGACCCCGAGTACTTCCCGATACCTCGTAATGCGATCCTAGCTGGACTGTGCTGCTTTGAGTCTTTTGACGTAAAGTTCAATCTGTCGGATAAGAGCCTGTAACAGACTTCGCAACGAAGAACTGATGGAGTCCTGTCAGATCAATTACCTACATAAAATCGGATTTTAGGAACAGCTTCAGTAAGATCAATTACGTTCTTTATATCCTTCCACTCATTGGAATTCTGAAATTTGACTGTCGAGGAAATTGCTTAACATCTGCATGCGTCGAACTTGTGAGTTTAAGTTCCTTCACAGTTTCAATCAATTGGTCGACTTTTGCATTTAATAAAGCCAAGTTTTCATGAGCAACTTCAATTGTTGAACCTTGCAAAGATTTAACATTATCACCAGCTTTAACTGCTAAATTATCTTCTTCTGGCACTTCTTCTGGTATGCCAGGGATAGGATCCATTGGTTGCATCATTTCCGTGGATTGTCATTGCTTTTGTGGCTGGTTATTTCTGGTAGATTTAAGAGTACTTTGAGTTAGGTTGCACTTTTTTTCTTTGGAGGATGAAGACAATATTAGTCTCTGGCTGGGTTGTTTGGAACTTTTTCAGCATTGTTTTGATTGCTACCATAGTACATCTGACGAGCTTTCTCTAGGTCACTCATGTTACATTCAAAGTTATAAATTTCTATATCTTTCAATGTACTTTCAGGATGACGTCTTCTAACATGTCTCTCTTTAGTGCTAGGGTCACGCCTTGATAAGAGATAAACTTTTGGATCTTCATTGAGGCGGAAGCAATTCAAACAAATGCATCTACTTTCAGTACTCCTGGTACTGGATTTTGACTGAGGAGTCTTGTGCTTTATGTCTAAATTAGGAGGGATCTGGGTTATCATCATTCAAATTACCACGACATATGGGATGAACAGCCTTAATTAAGACATATGGGGCATTCATGTGCTCCAGTAGTTTCCCCCTGGCAAACGCAACATTTTATTTCTGATCCAGCTTTCTGGAAGAACACCAGTAATATAAGGATCAGTAAGTTGGCAAGTGTAGTGTGATGTAACATGGGTAATGTAATGAAGAGAAGACAAAGTTATTAGTATTATTAGTATTATTAGTATTATTAGTATTATTAGTATTATTATTATTATTATTATTAGTAGTAGTATTATTATTAGTATTAGTATTATTATTAGTAGTATTATTATTAGTAGTATTATTAGTAGTAGTATTATTAGTAGTAGTATTATTAGTAGTAGTATTATTATTAGTAGTAGTATTATTAGTAGTAGTATTATTATTAGTAGTAGTAGTAGTAGTAGTAGTAGTAGTAGTAGTAGTAGTAGTAGTAGTATTATTATTAGTAGTAGTAGTATTATTAGTAGTAGTATTATTATTACGAGTAGTATTATTAAAAAAAAAAGAAAAAAAAGTAGTATTGTTGATTATAATAAATATTTGACATCTTAAGTAATACAAACGAGATATTTGAGAAATTTTTAGCCAGTTTATAGAACAATTCGGAACATTTTCTATATTTTTTATAGTATATTTTATCAATAGTCTATTATAATAATTATTTGTCAATAAATTATTATTATTATTATTAGAAGTATTATTATTATTAGAAGTAGTAGTATTATTAGTAGTAGTATTATTATTAGTAGTAGTAGTATTATTATTAGTAGTAGTATTATTAGCAGTAGTAGTAGTATTATTAGCAGTAGTAGTAGTACTAGTAGTAGTAGTACTATAGTAGTACTATTAGTAGTAGTAGTAATATTGTTATTATTATTAGTAGTAGTATTATTATTATTAGTAGTAGTATTATTATTAGTAGTATTATTATTAGTAGTATTATTATTGGTAGTATTATTATTAGTAGTATTATTAGTAGTAGTATTATTAGTAGTAGTATTATTAGTAGTATTATTATTATTATTATTAGCATTATTATTAGCATTATCTGTCTGTCGTACGGGTAAGACCTATCTTTGGGCGAGCGATTTTTTACGTATATACAGCAAGATAAAAATGCCTCCAAAGAGAAAGCCCTCAAGAATAAAATGGACGGAGTCAATGATAAATTATCTTTTCGAATGTCGTACAAGAGCTGAGGAGACAAGCAGACTTAACGACACATCCAATGCAGAGCGATACGGATATATGAAGATTATAAAACAACTATGGGACGAGAAAGGGTACTCCTCGCTTGGTCTAACGGCTCAGAATTTATGAGATACGGTAGCTCGTTATGAGAAGAAACAACGACCTGGTGATGCTGGTAGAACTGATGTGAATAATGAGTTAAACCAACAACAAATCGATGTTGTTCAAGAAAATGCTGGAAGTTTACACTCAGTTGTTGTTGACGAAATATGTAACACAGCAGAAATTTGCATTGAAAGAAGCCAAATAGATCAGTCTGAAACTCCCAATAGAATATATAACACTATAGAAATTAATGAAGCCAGACACATCAGTGAAAATAATGACATGGCACATAATGATGGAACTAATTATGTGTGTGAGGATGAGAAAATTTTCATGTGGAACGAAATAAATGGTACTGACTTTTGCGATATGATAAATGATGCATACGAAGAAATTGTTCATTGGAAATGTAATGTCTTTCTAGTGCCATCAGGCAGAGTTGGAAAGTTGTTTATACAAGAATTGGCAAGAATTTATCAAGCCTTTGCTGATGCTAGCCCACTCGAATGTATTGCTTTGAAAGCGTGCTCAGTCATGCAATCGTTATTACTACAAAAGCCTTTTGGTAAAGTAAGACAAAAGATCATGTCAACTATTTAGAAAGACGGTTGAAACAATGGCTAAAAGGAGATATAAAAGCACTTGTTAATGAAGGAAAATGTATTCAAAGGCATTTAATTTCTCAAACAAATATGCCGTTTGAATATGAGAAGATTATGTGTGCGTTTAGTCGTCTTATGTTGCAAGGGAAGGTTCATCAAGCCGTCCGTTTGATTTCTATCGCTGACAAACGTGGCCTTCTTTCACTTGATGCTTTAATACCTGATGTAGATAGCAATGGCAATGCTATCTGGAAAACTACGAGAGAGATATTGCTGGAGAAACATCCCGAAGGAAAAACACTGTTACCAGAAATGCTTCTATCGGATACCGAGTTTAAGGAAAAATGTTTTGATCCCATCATATTTGAACGATTAAGTGGTGAAAGCATCAAGCAAGCAGCAATGAGGACCAACGGCGCTGCTGGTCCATCTGGTGTTGATGCATTTGGTTGGCGACGGTTTTCTTCATCTTTCAAAAGTGCATCAACTGACTTATGTAATGCTCTTGCTTCTGTGGCTAGACGATTGTGTACCACACGTGTTGATTCAGATAGTGTAACGGCTTACGTCGCATGTCGTTTAATTCCTTTAAATAAAGAACCAGGAGTTAGACCCATTGGCATCGGTGAAGTTCCAAGACGAATTATCGCAAAGGCTATTCTTAAAGTAGTTGGTGATGACGTCAAGTTAGCGGCTGGAACCCTTCAAACGTGCGCTGGCCACGAAGCAGGATGCGAAGCTGCCATACATGCAATGAAGGAAATCGAATCAATGGATCAAACAGAAGCTATGTTATTGGTTGATGCGACAAATGTGTTTAATACTTTAAATCGGAAAGCTGCCCTTCATAACATTGGAGTTATCTGTCCAGCTATATCTACCATTCTTAATAACACTTACTCAAAACCAGTGAGATTATTTGTTACAGGTGGTGATGAAATATTATCGTTGGAGGGAACAACACAGGGAGATCCACTATCAATGGCCATGTACGCCCTCGCCATAACACCTCTAATTAAAAGTTTAAGTCAAGAAGTACCCAAGTATGGTTTGCAGAACTCCACATCTGCGGGGAAGCTCAGCGCCCTAAAAAGATGGTGGCAACATCTAACAGCAGTAGGACCTGGATATGGCTATTACCCAAACCCAAGCAAAACCACCTTGGTAGTTAAAGCCGAATATGTTCATCACGCCACTGCTCTTTTCCAAGATACCGGTATTCGTATAACAACCGCTGGTCATATTCTTGGCACAGCCGTCTGTACACCCAGATTATGTTGCAGCTAAAGTAGAGATCTGGAAAGAGGAAATAGAAGCTTTGGTTAAGATGGCAGAAATATATCCCCATGCAGCCTTTATTCATTCTATAAAGGGAAAGTGGCAATTTATCATGCGGACAGTGGATAATGTTGGAAAGTTATTCCCACCAATTGAATATATTATAACAGAGAAGCTTATTCCTGCACTGACGGGCAGAAGTCATTGTTCCATTGAAGAAAGTTGCTGTCGCTGCCAACAAGATATGGAGGTCTGAATATCGTAAATCCAGTCGAAGAAGTTAGTCTGCAACTTGATGCATCTAGAAAGATCACTGAGCCCTTGAAGAAAATGATAATCGAGCAATCTGATTCGTACAGAAAACCAGATTTGTGTGAAATCAAAGTGAAGCTACGTCAACAGAAAGCAAATCATCATGCGAGCAAGGCCAAAATTATTAGAGAAAGTTTACCTGCTACAAAACAACGGACACTGGATTTGTTAAACGAAAAAGGCACTTCATCTTGGCTTACTGTTCTCCATTTAAAAGAACATGGTTTTAATTTGAACAAAAGCGAATTTCGTTTATGCCTAAGATATAATTGGATGGTTGAAAAATGTTGCGCAATAATGTGTGTGTGTGGAGTAAATCTCTCAACAGATCATGCCATGATCTGTCCACATGGTGGTATGACAATTATTCGTCACAATGAGATTTGCAATATTACTGCCGATTGGTTGAGCGAGGTGTGCAGTGAAACCGAGAAAGAACCGCAACTACAGCCTATTACCGGAGGAAGTATATTTCCTAAGTCAGCAAATAAGAAAGAAGAAGCAAGATCAGATATTAAGGCAAAAGGCTTCTGCTGTCGACAGCAAAGTGCATTTTTTTATATAAGGGTGTTTCATCCCAACGCACCAAGCTATCGTAACTCCAGTATTCCCTCCTTATACAGAAATCAAGAACAGATGAAGAAGAGAGAATATGGTGACAGAATAAGAGAAATCGAGCATGGTTCCTTTACCCCTCTAATCTTTTCAACCAGTGGTAGTCTTGGTAAAGAATCAGCAGTCGCGTATAAGAGAATTGCTGAATTATTAGCGATTAAACGGAAGTCAGAATATGGTGCTACTTTAATATGGATGAGGTGTTGCCTCTCTTTCACCCTTTTGAGATCGGCGATCACCTGTATCTGAGGTTCAAGAAAATCTGCACATCACATAAAAAGTGAGGATATAGAACTAGGCTTTTTGGAAAGCCAGCTATGCGATAATTGATGTTAGAACTGATACTAAATTAAGCATGGTGATTTTTAATAAAAAGAACAAACATTACTTAATATTATAATTGACAAGTTTTTTTCAAGAACAGCTAGTTTAATTATTTTATCATGTAACATATAGAACGTAATATTTTTAAACAGCATATTGTAAAGTATTTTTTAATAAAGCACTATATTATTATTAGCATTATTATTAACATTAGCATTAGCAGTAGTAGTGTTAGTATTAGTAGTAGTAGTATTAGTATTAAGGCAACATGGCGGCTAGTTGCTGTGCAAATAAACTCATACTTATTTTGATACTAGCACTTTTTATTACATATTTCATCGCTCACAATTCAACCCACAATGTAGTTAATGATGTTTCTTCATTACTTGTGGGCTGTAAACTGGATATAAGATTTTATCTGGGTAGAAATTCAGGATTACCTCGTCTTGGCAAGACATTGTGTGCTATACCTACAAGTTCAAAGATAATGGCATGTGTTCACTTGGTCAAGTTTTCTCTTGCTGCTGGATATCTTGTTCTCTTATCTAACGATGTGAATTTAAACCCTGGACCTACTGCTGGTGCTTTGATCTGTCCATGGTGTGATAAATCGATTCAAAGAAATCAAGCTCATTCACAATGTACATCGTGTGAACTGGATTTCCATTTGAAATGTCTTGGAGCTGAATACAACCAAACTGGCTGTTGTCATTTATGCAGTTCTCTGTTGCATAACTTGGCTCAGCCTGAATATTCATCTGATGAGCTGTTTCTTCCTGCTAAGCTGTGAGAGATTTTGAAACTATGTGGATTTAAGATTGTCCATCAAAACATTCTAAGTCTCAGACGTAAAATTGATGAGGTGCGCATTATAGTAAATGAATTAAGATGGGGACTACACTTAATTGCTTTAACTGAAACATGGTTAAATAAGGAGATACCAGATGCCGAGCTTCAAATCCCGGGTTATAATCTATTTCGAAGGGATAGGGGTGTTCATGGTGGTGGAATTGGTGTTTATGTTAAAAGAAATATCTTGGTCACTAGAAGAGAAGACCTGGGGAATGTAGATGTCGAGGGTCTGTGGCTAGAAATATCTTTGCCTAAATCGCGTGGATTCTTGGTTGGAACCTTTTATCCTAACTCTTCGAATCATCATGATAAGGATTTTATGTTTAAACTGAATAACAGTTTGGATATTGCCAGTGCTCAGGGTAAAGAAGTTTTAATCACAGGTGATCTAAATGTTGATTTATTGGCCAAGAGAGCTGTTATACCAGAGTGTAAACAGCTCAGATCGTTATTAAAATGTTTGCAATTTAAACAAGTAATTGACAAGCCTACAAGAATAGCTCCTAATTCCCTTACACTTTTAGACATTATAGCAACAAATCGCCCCCAGAATATAAGTGACTCAGGAGTTATAACTACCAATCTGAGTGATCATGAAATGACTTTTTGTGTACAGAAAATTAATTGAAAAAAGGCTCCTGCCCAAATAAAAACATTTCGGAATTACGCCAACTATGATCATAATGCTTTTTGTGATGAATTAAGCGGTATTGAACTAATTCCCAATGGAAACATTAGTACATGCGTTAATGATTTATGGAATTCTTTTAGCTCTGCCTTTGTTTCAATTGCTAATCGGCACGCTCCTGTTATACAAAAGCGAGTGCGGGGGATTGATAATTGTCCATGGCTTAACAAGGAGATTAAATATGACATTCGTCAACAGGATTATCTCCAAGGGACAATTCGGTTACACCACTGAACGAGACACAAAATTATCTCCAATAAAATATTTCAATGCTCGACTACTACATTACAGTGGAAAGTTTGCAACCAATCCAGAGTATCTCTTCTTTGCACAGTTTATAATGGAACAGAAAAAGATTTCTGATAGTATAAATATAGCTCTCAAAAAAGTACATGGCCAGTCATAGGCCGTCACATATCTGCTATATCTTTCAAGTTTGTTGCACATGTTGCGAGGCTAAAAAATTCCGCCATAATACAATGCATATTAGTCGCCTTGTTCATGAAATACAAAGCCCCCGTTCACTAGTGTGCACAATTGGTAGAAAATAGACTTGAAACTTTGATAATATTCAATCAATGTTTCGTTTACGCTATCTTGAAATCGCGTGTGTTTCCATGGCAACATAGCTGCCATGCGCGGATAAAAGCAATATGGCGGCTGAAACAAGTTGGTCACTCAAACATTTTAAATTGAATAAATGTTGTATTCATTTTGAGGATGTTTCACAATCACTTCTAAAGGTCACAGAGAAGCGTCTGAAGAGATATGTTGTTTGTCGTGAGAAATTGGCGAAGCTCAAAGACCAGAAATCTGTCACAATTCGGACTTGTTTACTAGCGAAGATGGGGCCACCACTTAATTATACCCCCCCCCCCCTATAGACGAGAGTTTCTGAGGGGGGTTGAAAAAGCTGTTGCTGAGGGGTTGTGTGCATCGGCATACTTTGATCTTTGCGTTTTTCCTGAGGGGTAAGGCAAAAATTTCTTAATTTCTGGGGGGTGTTTGTGTCGGCACTTTGATCTTTTCTTCTTTATAGGGCCTTATATGGGTTCAAATTTTATCGAACTCGTCCATAGGGGCGGGGTGTACATTAAGTTTAAAGTGCGGTACAGTCTGTATGTAAACAAAGGCTTTGTTTACATGTTGGTATCCAAAACATTGAATTTCATTCGACAACTATTTATATTTTCATGATTCTAGAGTATAATAAATTATCAAGACACAACAATTACGCTTTTACTGTTTGTATAATAAAAAGAGGGCTCCTTTGTGCACATGCACAGATCGGACTGTACCGCATCTTTAATGTCCAGACCCCCCCCCCGTCCTCTTTGCATGAATTTCTCTGAAGGGTGACCCCAAAGTCATTTCTGTGCGGTTAAGCCTGTCGGCATACTTTGATGTTTTTTATTGTTCTGAGGAGTAAGGGAAAATTTACAAATGTCAGAGGGGTTTTGTGTCAGGCTGTCAGCACTTTGATCTTTTTTTTCTTGGGAGTTAAAATTTTACTGACCTTATCGACAGGAGGGGGATGTGGATATTAAATAGATAGCCCAATGTAGAAAGGCATTTTTCACGCTTTAACTGATGTGGGGAACTCAAAGGGTGTTTGGGTGCCCAGAAGCGGCTACCATGACCCCCCCCCCAACAAAAAATGACCATAAACATTTTGCTAGTACATTGGGAAAATTGGCCTGAGCCTCAGTTGTATAGGGTCAGAAAATTTGCAACAGGTGGCCCCCAAAAGCAGGAATTGGTGAAATTGTGAAATTCGGACCCCCTTTATAGTAGACATACACAGGGAAAAAATTGTTATTTTTAAGGAATATGGTTTGAAAAATTTTTTTCTTTCCCACCCCCAACTTAAGTTTGAAAAAATAACGCCCCACTTAAAAAATTAAATGGGGGGGGGCCTCAGGAGGCACTGGTAACTGGACTGGTTTTACCATGAGAACTGTTATAAACGACTTTGTGATTAAAACAAGTTGCAAAAAGTGGAGGAAAAGAGAACATGAGGCAGTGAAATCTTAATTGGCTGTGAAGTTGCAGACTGTTCCACCAAAGAAGCTTTTACACTCATCACTTGACAATGATGGTCCCCAAAATAGTGACATGAAGGCTAGATCACCAAATGTTTTGCCCCCCGTATGCATAATATGCGAGAAACAATCCGATTTGTTCAAATGTCATGGTATGTCTTACATTGTAATTATATGGTATATTTATCATTAAATGAAATCATTATACATTTGCTAGTAAATGGTACAGCGATCACGTAGCAAAATAATCACCTGAATATTTATTCCTCTTCATTTTATTATTTTATATTTTATCAAACTTCCTGCATAATGCATTGTAAACTTTGTTTGCCTTTCCAGATAATTGCTTTAACTTTTGTTTTGAATCTATCAGGGCAGACATTTTTTGCTCTATATTGCAGCTTGTTGTTTCCCCCAGGGAGGACATCCATGAAAGATTAATAACAGGTTTTCTTGTTTTCTTGCAATTGATCTTTTATTTTCTCACCTTCCGACATTTTGCTCTCTAGTGTTGAAATGGTGTTAGCACAGTGACTTATATCACCACTATTAAGATCTCTAGAAATTAAGGCTGTGATATCTACAAACGTTTTGCTTCAGTCCACTTGGATTCTTCGATTCCATGTTCTCAGAAAAAGATGTAAAAAGATGTGAAGCGTTCACGAAGAGGAGGAAAAGCTGTCCCCTTATTCCCCATTTCATAGTTAATTCTTGAAGGGGGGCCGTAAAATTTATTACTAACAAAGTGGGGGACCTGAAATTTTAAGTTGGGCTAATTAACAATTAGACAACGAAGCCGAGTTGTCTATGAGCGAATAGTCAACGAGGCGAAGCCGAGTTGACTATTCGTTCAGAGACAACGAGGCTGAGTTGTCTAATTGTTTTAGTATAAACCACATAAAGAAAACGGAATTTTTCACTTGATTTTTATGTAAAATAATAACGTTTTAACGAAATGAGCGTTTAAATGGCTTCCTTGGCTTTGGCGACATTTCGTCTTGGCTTTGTTGACAACTACTAAGTGTTGCGAACTCCCAAGAATGACTTGAAAAATACAACTTGTGAGTTTTAAAAAAGTTAAAAAACATGTCATAAAACAGTATAATAGTAAGAGACCGTTATAGAAGCAAAGTTTGGTTAATTAAAACTTATTTAAAAGAAGGAAACAAGGCTTAAAAAATCCAAAATTTCGAACACAAAATGGCTTCCCGAATTTTTATTAAATTAGTAAATAAAGTTTACGTCGTTAAAAAGCCGAATAAAAATGCACACACATGCAAAAGAATCCGATTATCCGAATGTCTTTGAAATCTTTAACATATCTGGAACATAAAGAGGCAAACTATTTCCATAATCTAGTATACATAGACAATATAGTTTAGATTAAAATTTAATCGAAAAACTCGACTTAAAAAGGCTCGAAAAAGACGAAAAACAAACTCGGCCAAAATCTCAACATTTAAACGAAAAAAACTCTTTAAAATGACAGCTAAATACATGAACTCGTACTTAAAACAAGCACACACTAAAGAGGTTGAGAAAATAGGGGTAAATAGCTACAAAGTATTGTTGAATTTCAACGATTCTGCTTGGAATATTAACAAACATTCTGCACATTTTAAAAAATCGCCTGTCACTTTCATGTTCAAAACTACGAGCAAAGTTGAGAAAACTTAAAATTTTTGCCGCATGTGTCAGCAGTTTCCAAGAGTCTTTGTTTGTGTGTAATCCAGAACCAAAATTAGGCCATTTTGATAAGCTTTTTCCCTTTAAATACAGCTTTTAATGCTTAAAAACGGCCATTGACTCTCGCGCCCTTCGCCGCTGTTGCTACTAGTAGGCTATCACTAATAGCCTACTAGTAGCGTAGACAATCAGAACGCACGATACATGATAGCCTACTAGTAGGTTTATACTAATGGTGGGTAGCAGTGAAAAAATGAAATATCTGAAAATCACCCATCCTCCCCCACTAATAAATAATGAATGCTCCTAAAGCTGGTCTTGAATCGCATTCAGGTCTTCACTACACATAGCATAAAATCTCATTTGCTCATCTGTTGTATTTTTAACTTGCAAATAGTGTTGTTGGTACGAAGTTCAATTTCCTAATAAATCATTTAGCAACAATGAGAGCAATATTAGCGGCAAAAGGAGATAGCCATGACAATTCTGCCAAGGCATACCTCAGGCACCAGTCACATTGACAAGTCAGTGAAAACAAAATACAATGTATAGTTTATTTCATTTATTTACTTTATTTATTTAAAAATTCACCCTATTTACATAATTAAGATAGAATATACAGTTTAATAGCCCCCCCTTCTAGTCATTTATTTATACATTTGCCCCTCCCTTATTATTTCCTTCCCTCCTTCTATAAATAATGACCGATCCCTTAAGACTTACAAGCAACTAACTGGTCAAATGATCCTCAATGTTCAGTACATAGTCACTCTACTCGGATGGTCTGGAGACTACTATTAACTTCAAACGGTGCTGCCTTTCATGTTGCAGCATTGAATTTATAACGTCACACAGGCCTTCACTGTGCACATTGAAATTTCGATACAGCAACTTGCGAAGCTGTTGATGAAACTATTTCGGGTGAAGACTTAAATATTATCTTAGACTTATTTCAGTCTGATTTTTTGGAAGAAGAAATAGAAATATAAGGAGCCTTTGAAAATGCCATTGAAGAGGTAAAAGTAACATTTTCCTTGTTTCAATCGGGTTTATTGTGATTTTGAGTGTGAAGTTTCACTTCACACTATTGTGACGGCTGGCAAATTCACACGAATCAGTCTGTCAGTCATAGAGTAAACTTTCCGGGGGGGGGTGTGTGTGTGTATATGATTTATGTTCGTAGTGATTTATTGTACTTAGTCAATACTTTGAAGGTTATTTAGGCAATTTCAGTTAACTTATTTAGATATTCCGTTATCCTTTTGTCAAGCTCACAAAAATTTCAAGGAATCACATTTGTTATTGTAATTTTTTGTAAATTTTAGAACATTGACTTCTCATGTTGTGTAAAGGATCTTTACCCCGGAACACCCAATTTTTTTTTAGTAGCGCAAAAGCGCATGCGCTATCAAGCCGTAGATCACGATGGCGTGATGATATGCTAGGAAGGAGTGACAGACTGACAGTGTTGTTTTTGGATGTATAAACATTTCAGACGTGAATATTGAGTAAATCTTTGAAAATCTACACAAAATATAAATTTCTCGTATGCATTACGGGCATTCCAACAAGTGTCGATAATATTTAGATGGTATATTCATTATACAGAGCTAGAAAGGAGCTAGACCACCTAGACAGTGCAGTCAAGTGTATTATAAACATTTCAGACATAAATATTGAGTCGAAAATCTTTGAGATTCTAGGCATTCAATTGAGTGCAGATATTATTTTTACGGCATACTCATTATACAGAGGTACAGTATGTAGGCAGAAGCGAGACAGTGTTGTTTTCAAATATATAAACATTTCAGACATGAATATTGAGAAAATCTTTGAGATTCTATGCAATAATACAACATATAAATTGATGCTTATATGCATTACCGGCATTCAATAAAGTGCCCATCGATATTATTTAGACTGTGTATTTATTATACATTGTCATTAACTGTATAAGGTACTACATCACAGAATAGATGGCTACACTCAGTACAAAGAGCGAAATTTTTTATCAGATCTGTATCAGATCAATAAAGCATAAACAACTATTAAACAGAAGCGGGTAAACGTTTGTACGGCGTTTACGAAAAAAATAACTTGCGAGACTAAAGAAATCAGTTGAGTCAGAGCTCCTTTATTTAAATAAGAAAGACGAGGAGATTGGCCAATGTGTTATCGCCACATGTTATCGCCAATTGCTTGGCTCGCCAACAAGCTTTGTGCAATAGAAGAAAAAAGCAAGGAGGTACATGTAGCCAACATCTACCATCACAGACCTTGTCTTTGTTTACTGCCTAGCACAACGCCGTTGTCAACGGTGCAAACTCGGGTTCAGTGCAATGATAACTCTACCAGATCTTATGAGAATCAATCTGTAGTATTCTGTACACAGAACTGTATCAAAGCTTGTCGAAACTGCTTTAAACATTGCCTAACTGTGAAACTATTGAAATCTAAAGTGACATCATTCAACACATGCGAAAAGCTGAAAATAGACACAACATGACACTGGGAAAAGTCAAAGGTCAATGAGACTTGTTATTGTGAAACATGTCACAATTTGGTTAAAATGCGGAAGCGGATGGAGCGGATCCACGGTAATGACTATTAATGTAATGACGTAGTGCTTATTATTCATAAGATATCTTATACAGCTATTTCAATTATAGTTTTAGATACATTTAGCATAGCAGTAGCCTCGTGGGGATGCTTTTAGCGACAGCTGCAAATGCAAATGCAAATTTAGAATATGCAAAATTTGGTTGTTGGTGAAACAATTCAAATTTCAAATTGTCGCGTGTAGCATCACAATAAATAGATAAATTGCATCAGTTTCACAAGGCACGTTTCTGATGTGTTAGGCTTGTTTCAAATGTCACGCTACTCGTGTGCCGAGCATATTAAAAGCAATAAATAATTAGATGAAATGCCTTTGGTAACTGTTTATTTCGTAGTGTAAGCCACCAGCTTTTCTTGGTTGTCGGCAACCCTATATAGTTCTTGCAGTGTCTTTTTCAATTTGAAACTTCACACTATCCTTGGATCCCTGGTTAATATATCATATATAATTGCTGTCCGTCCTAGACTCCTACTTCCCCTAGTGCTCTCTCCTACATAGAGGCTAAGCCGACAATATTTCAGCACTTTCTATACAGGGTGTATAAAAAAAACTGAACAGATATGAATTTGCTCTCAATTTCGCAAAACAGCTATTAGTATCCAGTTTTTGATGTATATAGCTTTTTGAGTACTTATAATGTAGAATGAAAAAAAATTCTCAAACTCAAATTTTGTGAACCAGGTATGTCTTCTCCAACAAACCAAAAATGGGGGGGGGGGTGTCTTTTCCAACAAACTATTTTTAGTTTGTTGGAAAAGGCACACCCCGGCCTGGTTCACAAAATTTGCGTTCAAGAAATTTTTTTCATTACCCAAAGAAGCTATATACATCAAAAACTGGATACTAATAGCTGTTTTGCGAAATTGAGAGCAAATTCATATCTGTTCGTTTTTTTTATACACCCTGTAGTTTGCCAGTAATTTAGTCCACTTTTGTTATTTAACACTACTATAAAATATAAACTGTCGTCAGTACGAGTGTCATGTTCTAAATTTATCATATTGACTATTGAAATATTCATATTATTGTATTGTTTCACATTGGCATTGCGCTCGAGCAGTTCTGTTATTATTCGATAGTTAAAAAAACTATTCAAGATGTCTGTGTGGCCAGGTAAATAATATACGGTTTAAAAGCTTTGACTGACTAGTAATATTTTAATAAAATCGAATTAAAAAGAATAAAAAGGATTAAAATTAACCGAGTTTTCGTACTAAACGTCCATCATCAGGATAAAATGTGAATAACATATCTACTAGCAATATTAAAAAAAAACTGTTGTCCATATATATCATGATTTTAATACAGACATCTGGGAAAGTTCAAAATGTATCTTTGCATCATGCATTATATTTATAATACATGATTTAAAGACACATTTTGAATATACTGAATATATTTATTTTTATCTCTTTAGTTAAAATTATAAATTGTTGATGATGAATTCTGTTGCAACATGTGTGGAAAGAAATGTAAGAGCAAAGGTGGCTTAACAAGACACAAAAATGCAAAGCATTTATTAATCAGAAGGGTGGAAATTTACTTTCGGACCTTTTGCCCCCTGTGCTGGGAGTGCATGGAAGTTTATTGTTATGAAGCGCACCAGGCGAATGGTTCTGGTTCCTGAGGACGTACTGAGTCGATATGAACAGAAACAGAAAATCGAAACATCTCCCCTTACGGCCGGCATGATGCAACAGGATACGGCTATGTCCGGAATTCTTGAGAGTGAAAATTTGACAGACGCGGAGAAACAGAAACTGTACAATGCGAATGTGGAAAATTATTGGAGTCTGAGGAAACAGAAGGATGAGCAGATACCAGCGGTTTGGGTGGCCCGGGACAAGGAGGGGGAAAAAGAACCTTTATGGGATGCGGACATGATTGCCCATTTACCTGTGATGCAACGGTCCAAGGCTGCAGCTTTGTTGAAGCGCCTGAAGGCAAATCCTGGCGTTATTTCTTGGGATGAATCCGGTAAAGTGAAAGTGGATGGTAGAGAGATTGTTAATTCTAATATATCTGATTTGATCAGTGATGCTGTAAGGGCACGGAAAAATTTAACCCCACGGGGGCACAGGAATTTTTCTGGGGGTTGGCCAGACTTAATGTACCTAAAGATATTGCGGGGAATGCCAAGAGGTGGGAGGAGGTCCAGGAACCCGTTGTTCGCAGGACACCTCTCGTGCAGACATCTCCGTTGGGGACACCTGAAGGCAGAGAACGCTATTACCGTCAATTCATACGGGGTTGTTTGATGACGCCGAGGAATTGGGTTAATGATTGAAAATTGTTGTAACTGGTTGTTTTGTGTGAATAAAAAAATGTTAAAGAGAAAAAATGCCTGTTTCTTTTTTTTGTTAATGTGTTAGTGACGGTCTTGAAAGGGGAACCGTCCCAAAAATTGTTTGTGCAAATGACGAACCTGCATGGACGAAAGATTTGCTAGCTGTAATTAGGAATGGTGGGTCCTGGGTTTATAAGGCATGCAACCGTGCAGTCCACATGTGGGACGTTTTCTTATTGCGATTGTGTGACGGTTCTGTGAAAAACCATCGTAAAAAATTAAGTTGTAAAACGCAATATTCACGTGAGATTTTTGATAAAGCCATGTAGTGAAGCAATAGGTTTATAAGACATGCAAACGTGCGGTCCGCATGCGGGATATGCGCTGAACGGGAGAGAAAAAAACACACTGTGGCGTCGTTTTATAAAATATTTATTAAAAACATCTTTTTACTGAACTGGTTATTAACACTGGAACGTTTTGGCACTACTTTAAAGTGACGCTTAACAAATTTCGATACTTTGGCATCGTTCGAGATTGTATCACTGTACAATCCGACTTAAACTAAAGCCCCTTGCTCTGTGACTAAGGTAAAATATACAGTATTGACCACATACGTTGGACCATGTACTTTGCAGTTTACGTTTATTAAAGTCCCATGTATGTGTCTTGAGAAAGTTTCCAAATGATTTCCTATAGTACTCGGGTGCATGTCCATAGCTATCGAAGAATTCCCCTCTTTCTTCCGACGGAAAGTAGAAGGCAATCCAGTGTGTTCCGGGTTCACTGCTGGGATCAATGTTTGCGACGAATCCGCACAGATACTTTTCGATTGTCTGGGGCAATTTGTCACTGGGGAATACGCAGCAAAACTCCTTGTTTGTTACGGGATCATGTTCCAGGGCACGCGTTATCTGATAGGGGTTCATCCAGAGTAGTCGTAAATAACGTTCCTTTCAGAATCAATGTGTACGGTGCTTTCAAACTCTCCGTAGCAGACGAGACTTGCTGCGGCTGCGGGTGCCGCGGAGAATTGAATATCAATGGCTAAATTTCCCCTTTGTACCACGTTAAAATGGGTGGAGGCTCCACACATATCGGGTGTTAAATCAAAGGCGTAGATGGCGTAACCATTGGGGAATTCACTTCGGGATATATCATTTCCCGTGTTATGGTACATTTTCCCTGTACCGGAAAACATGGTACTAAATGCTTCAATATACTGGGGCGCTGCACCGAAGGAAAGCTTCATGGGCTTGAATGGTATTTCTTCTCCATTGATGGCTTGCTTCTCCATTGACGGCTTGAAGTTAAACAGATTCTTCTTGAGAGCACTGTTAAAGGTATCACCGTCCACCAGTCCAAAAACAAGCGTTTTTGGTACAAAACCACTGAAAAGATTATCCTTTCACAGGGACGGGTTTCCTCCGGGAACAACAAAACTCTTGCATTCAATGCGATGGATAGGATAGATGGCCGGTCCTTTTTTGAGTGCAACCTCGTGAGCCACGGCAATGCTGGGATTGACCTTCACTTTCTGTACTTTAAGGTAGGCATCGGTAAGTTTTACCCTGTAGTCGGCACCACCTTCGGAGGTCATCAGGCAGAATGTGTCACTGCTTCTATTCAGAATGACTTTCAGATCTACGTAACTCAGCAGGAGGCGTTGGGACATGACTATATCACTAAATATAGGACCTGTCATTTCGATGGTTCCCGCTTGTTTTGCTAAAGACGTACCTTGCTCTAAGACCAAGGTTAGGATCGGCATCATCGGTCAGGGTGGGGTCTGCGACATCCATGTTACCTGCCGTATGCTTGTAGTACAGGGCGGCGGTAAGCTGGGAATCTTTTGCGGAGGGACTGTAATTGAGAAGGGTTTCCAGAGTACGCGTAGGTGCTGGTGGCCTGCGTGACCTGCTTTCCCTTTAAGAAAACGTCCACCTGCTTGAACAGACTGTGTAAGAGATTATTTACCACACCAACCTGAAAGGAAAACAGGGGGAATTGGTACACAAGGAAAGGGGCAATGTACTGTTCTTACGGAAAGAATAGCGTACCTTTTCGTTTGCGCCGAGATTTGTACCATTTGCCTTTGTTACTTTTGCTCTGATCACAAGAATTGTTCGGGCAAGATCCACATAGTCTTCGGTGCCCGGAGACAGGAACGTAAAGGCGCCCCCATTGGCAAGACTGGCAACCGGTTGGTGATCAATCCAATGTCCCTTTTCTAAACTAATTTGTGTTGGAGGCACGGAGAATAGGTCAAGTTTGCTTTTTGCGCACTCCTGCGATCTGGAATGCACAAAGTTCATGTTTTTAGCCGAATATGTCTTGAGCTGTTTTCCGTTTCTTGGTCTGTCTACGTCTGGTGGAGGACGCTGGTGCCTTTCTCTTTTTACGTGCTGTTCGCTTTCTGCTCTGGCTACGTCTGGCGGTCGACACGGAGGTTTTCCTTTTTTTACCTGCTCACTTCACACTTTTGGAGCAATGCCTCCGCTTTCCACTACCTGTCTGACCTTGTAGTTTACTAATGGCTTTTCCCTTGGCCGTATTAGCAGCTTCCATTGCCCGTGCCTTTGCCGCTTCCTTAATGTTTTTTTCCGGTAAAGGTATCGCTCAGGAAATCGGATCCGCTCTGCAGGGCAATATCCCCAAGGATCCTTGCCCCTTTTTTTGCCAGGGGTGCAACTGCCTTTACCCCTTTTTTCACAAGGGGTACAACCGCTCTTGACATACTACGGAAAAGGCCCCCCGGACCATATCCAGTCTGGTTCCCGTATCCGGCTTGCCAGGGGCTACCCCTAAAGACGGGCATGCCACGTCCACATTGCTGTTCCAGATAATAGTGTACGTACGGATTAATCATTTTTAGGTGAAGTAGGTGTGCTGTTGAAAATGTAGTGTTGTTATCACCTTTCCACGCTCGAATGGCACGGGATCGCCCGTGTCGTTCCTTAAAAGAATTTCCACGTTTTCAAAGGATTTCGTCTGGACAGGTATGTACTGTACGTTGGTGAACGTTTTTGTAACAATATCGCCGTACTTTCCTTTGACAGGAAGTAACTGTGCATTTGTATTTCCAACAGTCTGTGGCTGAACAATATTGCAATATGTGTAGATTGTTGAAAAAATATTTAGATCTGCTGTGTGCGGACTTTCGCCTGTGGTAGAAATTGTCACCGTTTTTCCACCGTATCCCTGAATAAGGGACAGCGTATCAAACTGTTACTTTTCCTGTCTGGCTGCTGTACGTAAGATTTATATTATCATTACCAGCGTACTTCTTTAGGAATGCATTCATACTGTCCAGGAGTGCCTGTACATGTTCATAGTGACCGTAGGAGGCCAATGTCACTGGAAAGAACCCGCTTCCGTCATCGTAATAAAACTCGGCATTGTTTTTGAATGTATACCATCTGTGTGGATAGGAAATGGAGTACATTCCAACTTCCCAGTTCCTGTTCAGGTTAATAGACTGCGGTAGTTGTACATGATAGTCGGATGTTTTGTTATCCGGAAAAACATCCAGGGACACATTGCTCGGACGCGTAAGGTAAAAGTGCGTTCCACTCATTATGTGTTCCCGTCTGGAAATAACGGACAAGTACCCTATTCACTAGTTTACGTTCTGTTCATTTCAGAAGCGGATACCCATTAATTAAACTTACTGGGGTACCCTAACCACTTTACGAAATAGTGAACGTTCTTGCCTTGTCCACGTTTCTTCAGGATCTTTTCGACTTCGTATACATTATCTTTTTTAATAATCTTTTGCAGTTCTTTCTCGTAGAATGTTCCCTTGAGCTCCTCACTGTCCAAATCCTTTAGTTTGTATACGGGAGGGTCGCAGAGGGTATCTGTTTGTTTACGATAAATATTTCCTTCGAGAAATTTGGCAGATACCCCTTTTCGAACGTCCGTTTCATTTTGCTAATTCGTACTTGATCACCAATCTTGAACTTGTACTTTATGTTTTTTACAATCTTGTGATCATCATACAGGGTGTGCCACACCTCTTTCTCATTTTCAGTAGTAACATCGGCGGGTTTCATCTTAATGCTCCGGTGAACACTGTGATTGTAGGAATAAACAATATCGGGTAACATGTCCACGTACCACATGGTCTTCTGAGCCGTAAAATAACACCACATTTTCGTTTTTAAGGTACGAATCAGGCGTTCCACAATGGAAGCTTTCGTTTCGTTGTACGTATTGAACAGTTCGATATCCTCTTCCTTCATTAACTCATTAACGCCCAAGCTGTTACAATGTTTCTACCCCCCTAACGTGCAAGCAATATGGCGAATACGTGACTGAATTCAAGAGCTTTCACCAAAATGGCAATATCTCAGAAACAGTTGCATGAAAAAATCTGGTCTTTTCAACCAAATATTATTAATATATGATTGACCAAATTTAGTTTAAATGAACTTGCATACCTATATATATCATTAGTTTTTTCAATGAGAATTTTTATTTGTAAACCAGTGACACTATTTTTTTCATGTCACTCATCACCTAAAGGGGCAATATCTCCATATATTTATATAAAAACAAAAAAAAAATTATTTACTAAATTAGTACATATCTATATTATAACCAGTTTTCATCTATTGGGATATGAATTAGAAAGTGATCAAAAATTATAAAAAATACTCCTTTGCTTTTTTGGGCAAGATGTTTACAACATGAAATTTAGAACAGTAACTAAGTGTTAAAATTCAACAAAGTGTGCAAGCCAAAACACAGTGCTTGTACATCTTTGGAGTTTTTAATTACCTCAAATATATTTAAAAGGACATACGGTACTAGAATATATTTGTTTTCAATATAAACCAAGGATGGGAAGGTGAGAAAATAGGAATTTTCTGAGGTGTTTTTAACACAGACAATGACAGCCGACATTTTCAAAGGCAAATTGCCCGTGACAAAACCAAAAGTTATTCACTTCTCTACTCAAAGCACTGAAAAACACCATAAAGAGGAAAACATTTTAAACATACATCAGGTAAGCCTTTTAGCTCAATTTTCTCATGTTTCTGTTTGGAAAGAAACGGTTTTTAGCCAAAATTATTTTGCTCGCCAATGTAGGCTGCTATAAAATGTCAGACACGCGTTCTCTTTTGAAGTCTGGCTCTGAAAAACAATCGCTTTTTTTAGTTTGAAATAAGCTTTCATTAGGACTAATTGTGTAGAAATGTTATCTGTATGCTCAAATGAAAAAGATAACCTAATAGTCAGGTATTCAACATAGCTATAAAAGGGTGAAATAAGGACTTTCATCTTTGGTTGTTTGTCAGACATGAGAAACCACATTAGTGCCATTTTGTCGCGCGTGCTATTTTATAAAATAAACACCTCAAAACCATAACCTTTTAGTTCAGAAAATTACAAAGTTTCCCATAGACATTATTAAAAATGTTCTAGTGAAACGATTTCATGATAAATAAGCGAGCAATGGGCCCGAAAGGATGGCTAAATTATGTTTTTGGTGGGACTTCAGTTTCATGGCTTCCCGCAAAGGAAGCCATTTCAGAGAGAAACGACAACAACGGCAAACAACCGTCGCGACCAAATTTTGATAACTTTTCCTTCTGATTCAACATGTAGTTACTAGAAAATGAGGTTGGATCAACATTAGTATCTGCCTTATCGATTTAAAGTTTTATGGGGATATAAAACCCAATACAAAAAGCATTTTAAAAGCATTAGAACTCAAGTGCGGACTTTTTGAGAATTCGCACGCGGCAAGCAAGCGCATTAATTCAATACACTTATTTCAAACCACAATATGTCTGAAACGAGTTGTCATTTTAAGACTAAATTGATGAAAATAGATATAACGGTGATTTT